CAGTGACCTACTGGTGAAAGATCTAACAGTCTACACACAATGGATCCTAAGGGTCCCATCTGCATCTGACTTGGGGGAGGAGGGGCTCGGCTGGAACCTAGAGGGGCTCTGCTAGTCACTGAAGAGAGGAAACAAGAGAACAGCAGGGACCCCCAAGAAATGCAGGAATAAGCTGGACATAGAAGCTGGGCCCTGGGCCTGATCTTTCTAGAAAGTTCACTTTCATTTCCTCTTTCCCTTACCCACTGAGTAGGAGTCAGTGGTGATGACAAAGGTACACGTGGAGGACCCTGGTGCTGGGGTCAGCTCCCTGGAGGGAAGGGAGAAAGGATTATTCACAGGGAGGAGCTGTTCCATTCCTGATCTGGGGGTTGATGGGGTGGGGGGGCCAAGGGGCCTGAGGAGGGGGGCTCTCGGGAGCACCAAAATCCTGACCTCTCCTTGCCCCACCTCCATCCTGGGGCTTTTCCCTTCTGCACCCCAAGCAGGCACTCCGTATAGGCATTGTGCTGAAAGTTCCCCACACAGCCCTACATGAGGCTCCCTGGCTCCAGGCTCAGCAACTGGAATGCAGGCTCCTGCCAACTCCATTCTCTTCCACATGATCTCGGAACTTCCAAGGCTGCCTCAGAGTGGGAATTTCCACTCTTTCCTCTCATACTGTGTCTGACCTCCTGGCTGCGAGAGCTACTCAGCTTGGCACAGAGAAGTGGAAAGGGGAGACGATCCTCTCGTGGAGGACTTGCTCCCCCGAGTCTCACTTTCTCGTCTCTGGCATGCTCATGGACTGACACATGCAGAGACGATCACTTTGCAAAGATGATGCGCTCTGCCTGAAGTAGAGCCGTGGACTCCGACACTCAGCAAAGTCGGGAAACGTGTCACTGTCACCAGGGGCCAGTGTATCTCCCTCCCTGGGAATGCGGTTTGGTTGAATGACATGAGGAATGTCTGCCCAAGATATCAGCTGGTCCTGTGATTCAAGGATTCCAGGACGCGGCGATGAGAACGGAGAGCAGTGTAAATATCCAGCCACAGTTAAGCTGGAGAAAATCCAAGCAATTGCTGCAGATTCAATGAATGAACTGCAGAGTCATAAAGCCATGAGCTGGAATCGACCCAATGGTGATGAGTTTGAGTGTTTGTAACTATCTTGGGGGATCCGTGAGACCTGCTAGAAGATTCCCTGAGCTGGGTGTCAGGACAGGTGGATTCTAGGCTCAGCCACTAACATGCCCCAAAAGAGTTGACAGAGATGGATTATAAGGTCTTCCAGTTCTTATGACTAGGATTCTGGGGTATAAGACGAAATCTGGGGCAGACCACATAATGAAGCCAGACATTCCACTCCCACGTGTGCTTATGTTCATTTATGTGTTCGCCAGAACAATGGGGAGCTCGGTCACCCCCGCCCCCCCGCCTTAGGGATCAAGAAGGAAGCCAGGGGAACAGACGCCATAACAAGAGACACCCTTCTTGCCCACTGCTGCCTGGTGTGTTAACCACAGGTTCCAGGCTGATGGTGACTTAGCCCCCAGGAATGATCACAGACACTCCCTGTTGGTTTGAAGAATGATGAGGCGAGAGGGAGAAAACAGCCAGCTATATGACTGGGCAGCTAGCTGGGCATGTTGTGCAAGCTTCATTCCAGGAGCATATATGTCAGGACAGTGAACAGCACAGATTCTGGGGCTCAACTGCCTGATTTCTGTTCAACTTACTTTCTGGGCAGGCTACACAGTGCCTCAGTATCTCAGCTGCCTTATCGTTCAATTGGGACTAAACAATGCCCACTAGATAGGGCTGGGATATTTACAGATATGCTACTTGACAAGGACTTAGAATATAAGTCCAGAGCAAGTACTACACGGTTATCACATGCCTTAGTATATACTCTATATGGCTTCTTCCAAGACTACAGCCCATTGAGTCCTGGGATACAATGAACACAACATCTGACAGTTCTGCTTCCAGGGTGCCACCGTTCTTGTGTCCTAAAGAACACAGTCTTCAGGTGCTGGGTGGGAGCCCATCCAAGGCCCCCTCCCAGCCCAAAGCCCCTTGAAGGCAGGCTGAGGACACACCCTGGGATTCCATCATCTCCCTTGTGACCTCA